ATATTAATACAAATACGAAAAAGTACAAACAAAATATGAGTTGTTTATTGAGTTTTGAAAACTAATTTACTTTTATATCGGCGAGAAGGCGCTTCGATTGTGCGAAACGCCATCTGTCACCTGCAGCTGTCATCTGTCAAGATCTATGGTGCTTTGCGAAACGTCAAGTTATGACATTGACGGCTGTCATCGCTTGGGAGTGGTCTATGCTTGTTCGAAGATGGCACTTTTACGTTGTGCGGCCATATTGAGCGGACGCAAGCGCAGAACTCTCCGCGTTTCGTATTGCAATTCGTTTGCATCGAGTTATTATTAATGTACTCCGATTAGATAATTAAGTAATTCAACTAAATAACTGATTTGTGATCTATATGCGATCTTATTTCGAAGGAATATCTCGACCACTAGTCAGATTGCGGATGTTGACTAACCTAACTTTCCGCCGGCCCCGCATGACTTTCCGACATCAGAAGTGGGATGTAACCGACCAAGTGGACACACAGATATCATGGATATGGAGAATCGTATTGCAGTAACAAAATCAAAACTTTCTCGCCCTCATCTACGTCATGACTGGGCCGTTGTCGAGTCACATGTGTATCTGCCCGAATTCGATCCTGACAAAATACAAGAAGAATCACTTGAAGCCTTCGTAAGAAGAACAAAGCGTTCCTAATATGAAGAACAGAAACCTGAACGCTGCTGTCACGTTCTTCAATTGTGGAGCAGATGGTCACTACTCTCAAGATGCCTGTAGCCGAAGAAGATGCAACGGTGGCAAGCTTGATTGATACCCTTGCTAGTATTTTGCAGCATTTTGGTGAGTCGTTTTCATTTTGTTTTGATACTGGAGTCGAGTGCTCCCTTATAATGTAATTAATATCGCGAATAATTCATGGCAATCGAATTAGTAACACTATTAAAATAACTGGTATTGGTGATAGAAATGTTTATAGTATCGTGCAGATTTAAGTTTTGGTTCAGATTGACGATATTGTTTTTTTAATTTCTTTTTCATGTTCTCCTTTAACTTCAACTAGTTTTTATTTGGTAGTTCAACAAAACTTATTCTTTGTAACTATTTTTCTCTCCTTTTTTATTTGTAAAGCAGTAGTATGTAAGTTGCTCAGGTTGTTTACATCTTCCGGGCCTTCGTAGTCGTAGGCGTAAATCGGGCTAGATTTCCCGTCGCATTGCGGCCACGTTTGTGAGTGGCGTGCGTTGGCTAGCAGATGTAAACGATCGCTGTTGGTTCGTCGCATAGAGACGACGGTTGTGTATGGGTACCGGATGGAGGTCACCCGTGGATGTGTTGTGTTGTGGAAGGGTACCGGATGGAGGTCACCCAACCACGTGATTGTTTTGTGATGACCGGATGGAGGTTGTCACAAGGTGCTGGATGGAAGCATCTGAAATTATAGAGTATTGCATACGACACTGTTTTACTATGTAATCCACGATTTCCAATTTTATTTAGAAAGCTAATTTGTCTGATGAGTTTCGTTGAACTGCTTAGTGATCGTAGCATGATTTCATTACTTTCAATATTATTGTTCGAAGACTTACAATTTTGAGTTAGTTTATACAAAATGTAGTAAAGAATCTACTGCGCTGCATATTTTCCCTTTCAGATTGAACCCCCACGCGAGGATGCGTGAGGCTATCAGAATAGCCGTTTCGCAGTGCATCTCCATCACCTTTACGAAGATCGTTTGGTTTAGTTTTCTTTTTTTTTTAATTTTTATTTACTCGATTACTTAATTATTCGATTGTAAAGAGGGCGTGATTATCGATACTTTTAATTCTATTAGAATGGTAACACTGAAGTTGCCGCCATTTTGGCGCGCATGAGTCTCTTTTGCATTTGGGCTGGGAGAAAACTATGGAAAAGCTCTATAGTCATTATTGGTTTGAAAACATGACAAAATATGTTCGTAAATTCGTTGACAACTGTATCACTTGCAAAATTTCTAAAACTCACATAGGTTAAGTGCAGGCTGAGCTTTACCCTATACCTAAGCTTGCTATTCCGTGGCACACTTTGCAACTAGATGCTACTGGAAAACTAAGCGGCAAAAATGATAAAAAGGAGTACGCTTTTGTTTTGATCGATGCTTTTACCAAATTTTCCTTGCTTGTCCATACTCCATACCAACATTGACTCTAAGAACAGCATTCGAGCTTCGAAATTAGCTATCTCCCTATTTGCCGCGCCAATGCGTATTATCGCGGACCAAGGACGCTGCTTGACTAGCCGCGAATTTCGCGAGTTCTGTGACGACTGTTTGTGAGGTATCGTCACTTGGAGGTGACATGAGTTACATCGCTCGAATTAGGTGCGATGACTGTGATTAATAGAATTGATGATGTGCAGAGTAGAGAGAATTATTAATTTGACTGACTGACTGAAGTGACTTCGTTTTGTTACAAAATGAGGAGCGTAATCAGACCAAACAGACCGTTTAAGGTCATGGAGTTGTTAGATGGTGATCGTTATTTGTTAAAGGCGTTAAATTCTAAGAGGACGTACAAGTATGCTCATGATAGACTAAGAAGGATGCCTGAAGGTCAGTTGGTTGTAGAAGAATCGTGGATCAAAGTGATGATCTTGTGTTCGAAGTTCATGGCACATCGCGTGATTAAGTTGGGTAAAACTCGATGGAGGTGTTACTTGAGCGATCAATGGAGTTCCTCATGGGAATAATGCTTGATGGAGGCATTGGTTGTTTATGTGCTCGATGGAGACACTGGTAGCATAACGCTCGAAGCAGGAGTTTTGCTTGTGTTGTTAGAGGCACGAAGAGAACATAATGCTCGATGGAGGCGTTATGTGACTTGATGTGTGCGTTCTATCACTGTATAGAATCGCGATATGTGTTCAGTTGTGTACTGATGAGTGTAAGACTTGATTTAAAGTTTGAACTTCAGATATCCTTCGAAGTTGATTTACTAAGGCATTACAGTATTTGATCATTGTACATAGTTGTAATCAGTAAACATAGTTTGTGATCGGTGTGCTTATGTGACGGTATTTTTACTGGTCAGAGATGACCGAGTGATGGCAAAAGCTACTGGTAGTGTTTTCATTTTTAGACTCACACGAGGACGTGTGATGCAGCAGGATGGCCGTGTCGGCGAGAAGGCGCTTCGATTGTGCGAAACGCCATCTGTCACCTGCAGCTGTCATCTGTCAAGATCTATGGTGCTTTGCGAAACGTCAAGTTATGACATTGACGGCTGTCATCGCTTGGGAGTGGTCTATGCTTGTTCGAAGATGGCACTTTTACGTTGTGCGGCCATATTGAGCGGACGCAAGCGCAGAACTCTCCGCGTTTCGTATTGCAATTCGTTTGCATCGAGTTATTATTAATGTACTCCGATTAGATAATTAAGTAATTCAACTAAATAACTGATTTGTGATCTATATGCGATCTTATTTCGAAGGAATATCTCGACCACTAGTCAGATTGCGGATGTTGACTAACTTAACTTTCCGCCGGCCCCGCATGAATGAAATAATACCGGAGGAGTTTTCATGGAGAAATCAAGAACGTACCTTAGTAAAAAATATTGTATTTGTTATAATTTCGATATTGAATATTTGAAATGGATATATTGTTACAAAATATATCTCCTAGAAAAATTGATATATCGAAATGAAAATATCGATATATATAGATGTATCGATATTTAATTTACTAGAAGTGTCGGTATCTGGTATCGATACCGAGCACTCATGTGGTATCAAGGGACATGGTATCGACATCATAATAGTATCGATCCAAAAGTATCGATACTACTCAGTATCGAGTATTTACCGACAACATTTAATCAATGCCAGAATTTTAGATTTTTCATAGTTCATGCATAGAAAATTGCATAAATTCTCTTTGAACGCAACGATGAGACGATTAAGGAACGAATTAAACAGTTTTGCTAGAGATAGTTTTTACTGCCGTGTTTGGTGGGTAAAATTGCCGTATTTTGAAAGAAAGGAACAACAAAATAAAACAAGTTTTATTTTTCATTTTATTTAATATTTTTGGTTATTTAATTATTAAAAAATATATTAAATAACTATCAAAAAACATAAGTTAACCTAATAAATTTTAATTTACCCCAGAGTTCAGAGATTAGAACTTTCCTCTGAGTAGTTTCAATGAGAACTCAGTTCGTAATCAAAAATATTGAATATAATGAATAAAAACATTATTTATTTGCTTTTTTATTTTCTGGCTTAGCACCAGGAACTTGCTACATTGCCGTAGATTTTGCTAAGGCAATTTTGCTGATGCCATGCTGAAGTTTTCTTTTAAATTATGAACAATTTTATAAGACTTTGCAATTGCCGCATGAATTGCAACGCTGGAATGAAACAGTATCCAAAATATTTAACTTTATAAATAAATGGTAATTTACGGATTTTAATGAAATATGATTATTGTTTTTATTTTCATTCAAATGTTAATCTATTTCTAGGGTTTTTCCGAAAAATAAATTTTATAGAATGTATACGATTGAAGAAACTCGGAAGTATATTGTATTGCGGTCAGGGTAATAAAAAAATGAAAATTGAAAAACTACAGACTAATACTTCCAAAGATTTATTAAATTTAGGCATAGAAGCTAAAAGACAACTGTAAATAATCCGTATCAAGTAATACTACTTTCGAGAACTTATCGGCTGTGGTATCGAGAATCGTCTTTGTAAGTATCAATACCTACTCGGTGTCAAAAGTATCGTTCTGTATTATTTTTCTCTTTGGTATCGTCGAACCCTAACCTTAACATAATAGAGTTATCATAACAAATCAAAGAACAAAGTAGTGACAAAAAGCTTAGCGAAATATGTTTATTTTTAATTAGTATTCTTTGATTATTTTATGAGAAAATGCATATAAATGTGTTTTATAGTAATAATATAACATTATTTACCAGCGGTAGATTTGATGGTTAAAGTAATTATTATTCAGTTAAGTTTGTTCAGATATTTTTGAAATATGGATGATGTCCCATATTTAATGTCTGTTAAAATTTTAAAACCTGAGTTTAACAACGTCAGAAAAATTCCATTAAATTCAAACCAAGTAAGTAATATTAATTTTTTTAATAACTTTAAACACTTTTTTCTTCATCAGTTTATTTATTTTTTTGACTCAAATATTTTATAGTATTTAAATCCTATTTTGTTTTTATTGAAACGTTATTCTCTTTTCAGGTCACTATAGGCCGCAACATCAATAATTCGGTAGTAGTACCAGCAATAACAATATCAAGAAATCACTGCACAATTAGAAAAATTAATGAAAACTGGATCTTAGAAGACAATAGTTCCTTTGGTATTGCAGTTAATGGAACTCTCTTGGGCAAAGGTATTAACAAAGTACTTCATCATGAAGATGTTATTATTTTAGACCCAGAACAATTTGTTTATAAATTTTATAATCCTTTTGAGGACTTCGAAATACCAAGAAAAAGAATAAAACTTGAGCATGTAGATGAGGATGACATTTTGAACAATGTAAAACTTAAATTTGAAGAATCTCAAACTTATGAAATTAAACACATTGAAGAAAAGATACATAATGCTAAAGAAATGCAAGTAACTTCAAAAATTATGAAGGATAATCTACAGTTAGCTATGAATAATAAAATTCAATTAGTAAAAAATGAATTTGCATCTCAAATTGAGAATTTAAAAGGAGAAGAAAATGAGATTGAGAAACAAAAAACTATTCTTATAGCAGAGAGAGATGCCCAACTGGCATTGGTCAGAGAAGAAATGGAAGGGAAGATAGCTGATTTAATGGTTTGTCTACTTACTGTATACTACTGCATTTGCCAAAATGCCAATGACAGATATTTATAATCTTAATTTCCTCTAGCTCAAAGTATGTTATTGTTTTAACAATTGTTTTAACAATAACATACTTTGTTTTAACATTAAAAGCTGTGCAGAATGTGTGCAAAATATCCCAGGATTCATCTTCGATGGAAACTCAGTCTCCATCTAAACAAACTCAAATTGTGTCCTGCAAGAACATTGCAACATACATAATTGCAATTTTTTTTAACAATTATTACAGTAAGAGAGCAACATACTAATATACAGGTCATCTCAAAGAAGTAGATTAAGTGTATTTATGTTATTATTTATTTTCTGAGCTCTCATCCACTTACACTTTCAAACCTCAGAAGTAAAGTCCAGTATACCATAATGTGTTAAAATTTGATTATTGAGAGTGTAGTCTCCAAGTTCTATCAAAAGTCAATCCAGCCATAATAATTAACATAAAATGTGGTTTGCAAAAAATGCAGAGGAAATAAAAATATGAATTTTTTATGGTTTTATTGCATGCAGTCAATTTATCATAATAAAATAATATACATTTTACCTACATCTATTGCAAATCAATGTTAGTTTTGAAACCTAAGATTGAGGGAAACCAAGTGCACAAATTTTGTATTTATTTCAGAAACAAATAGAGAACCACAATAAAACAGAATCAAAACTTCTAGAAGAAAATAATAATTTGAAAGAAAAACTATTAAAAGAGAAAGAAGAATTTCTTGCAGAGTTTAAAAAAGAAAGTTCATCAAAACAAGACATGCTAGATAAACTTGAAGCTAAACTGCTGCAACAGGAAGAAGCTCGTTTGAAGGAGAAAAAAGAACTGGAACTGAAGCTAAAACATGAAACTGAACAGCTTAGATTAGCAAAAGAAAAGGTGAGACTTCCTTTCCAACAATGTTTGTATTTTGAAACAAAGTTATGTTGTCTTCATTGTCTATTGATAATCATGGATGTTGAAATAGCGGCATTGCGGTAGGGAGAAATTATACCAACTTCCAGGTTGTAGATTTCTGTTTAACTAAAACAAATACTACTTAAAGCTAAGGACTGTGACTTAAATGACTGTGACTTATATCACTGACAAGTGAAGTAACTGTTGACCTTGTATAGAATGTGATTTCTTATATTACAAACCACCTAGAGAGTAGGCAGAGGAGGACATGATTGTTTGAAGATATTAGTTTAAATTATGCCCATGTCTATACTTTTAGAATAATATTATAAATAAGGAAGATTTGTTTTCGTTTGTAATGTAGTATTTAAGTGTAATTTAAGACTCAACTAAAGAACAAATCTTAAATACATATTACCATATTGTTAAGGAATAATTTAACTGCAATCTACAATCAAACATACATACATTAAGAACCAATATGGGTTAAAATTGTTAACTCTAATTTCCATAAATGTTAACTATTCTTTTATTCAAAACGATAGAAGAACTTTTATGGAGATACAAGTCAATGTTTTTATGAATTCATAAATTGAGTACAGATTAATTTTATTGATCCAATTAGTACAGCCATAATGCAATATTTGTATGTTTTATACTGTCACACTCTGAACTCTTAACATTATTTTACATATCACCAGGAGCTAAAAGAATTAGAACAATTAAAAAAGCAAAGAGAAACAGAATTAGAAGCAGAATTACAGAACATAAAAAAAGACTTGGAGGAACAGATCCAAAAAGCAGCAGAGGAAAAAGATAAAGCTCAACAATTGCTTAATGAACACATCAACCAAAGGAAGAAGATAACAGATGAAGAGAAAGCCAAAACTGAACAATTAGTGAGTATAGTCTTTTTCTATGGCAGGGCCTTGATTTTGCTAATATTCACAAAATAATGGCACTTCAATAGCATTTAAAAAAAATGACTGTTACTGTACTTGTAAAAAGTATTTCAAAACTTTTTATATTGTCTTATACAACCACTATCATATATCTTTTTTCTCAAAATGTGTTATTAAATAAATGATTGCATAATCAATAAGTCATATTTTGAGCCCTAACATCACATTTTTATAAACTTGAGTATTGGTTGAGACAATCTATAAATTATAAATAAATCCTTCCACCACTATACTATGAAAACATAAAATGTATAAGTTTTTAAAACCAACATGAAATCAAATATAAATCTCCTTAGATATCAATTAAAAGTCCCTTAACATTATACAATACAAATTTAAATTTAATTAATTATTTTAGCTACAAGAAAGAGAGGAAATTCAAAAGAAATTAACAGAAGCACAGGAAAATGCGGATAAGGCTATTGAAGAGTTAAAGGTATCTACTATCATTGTACATATTAAATTAATACTTTCTCCATTCAGTTTTGTAGTTTCAAATTCGATTTTGGTAACAGAATCGGGTAGCAGCTAGGGAAACTGAATTAGCTGCATTGGCAGCTGATAGAATACAACAACAAGCAGAACAATCCAGCCACGTCATCAGTTCATTGCAAGAACAATTAGAAAATGTAAGTAAAAGAAATCAAATTTGTGAAAGTCAATATCCTTTTGTTTTTTAATCATACCCACATTCTTTTATACTATATTTAAAAAAAGCTTTAACTTATAATTTTTTTTATAACATAAACAGGTTAAAAGTCAACTTAAGTCAGTGGAGATGGAAAAAAATACACTACTTGAAAATATTATTGCTGAAGATAATGCTAAGGAGGGCTCATCGAAGGAAACTACATTAGCTGAGGTTGGAGAACTAATGGAGAGTGAACTTCAGTGCAGTATATGTGCTGAACTTTTTGTAGCAGCTACAACTCTCAACTGTTCACACACCTTCTGTAAATACTGCATTACCATGTGGAAGAAAAAGAAAAAAGACTGCCCTATTTGTAGGTGAGGAAAATAAATAACAAATCAAAAATTTGCATTACCATTTTGAAAAGTGTTTCTGTCCATTTGCATAATATTTTAAGCCATTAAATCTTCAATCAAAAATACAACTAGATAAAGCCTTGTATACTAAAAAAATACTCAAATACAGCTCCATACACTGTGGCAACCTATTAACATAATACCACAGAGTATATTCTGTGATAATACTATAATATCGCATTGTCAATTTTATTTTTGTTTTAAAAATATTTGTGTAATTATATACATTGATAATTTAGGGAGGTAGAAGGTTTGTCATTTAAATTATAAAATCTATTATCTTTGTACATATTATAATTTAAGTTTAGCTACCTTAATCCCTCTTTAACTGGTAATTAGTTTTTTATTCTAAAACTAAAACAAATTTAAATTAAACATAGTGTTATTAATTATCTGTTTATGTAATAACATCCTTAGATTTTTCATTATTTTGCACATATTATAATCTTTCAGTACTATCAAGGTAGTGGTGGTTTTTCTCAATATCTGGGGATTTTTTATATAGATAATTCTATATAAAATCCCCAGATATGTAAGATGTAATTTAAATTAAACATAGTTGTATTAATTACCTTAAAGTAAGTTAATTTTATTATAAAGTTGTGTCTTGGACTTATTTTTAATCTCGGCTGTATCTTTTTGCATGTTCAATCTTACGTCAACAAAACATTCAATAATTAAATTAAGTCATTCTGTTCTATGGTTTAATTCAGTACTTTCAGGGAACACATTATTTGTTTTAAATAGTTTTGTTGTAAATAGATACTCAAAATACATATAGAACACCCAGACCCATACAAACCTTGAAAGTAGGGACCAGTCCATCCTATGGCTTCGTGTATACAGCGACGACCGCCCCCGCGTCTATTCGTGCCTCTATAGGTCCCATGACGGCGATGCCGAAACCGACCGACTCATCGAGCACGTCCAAATGGCCGCAGACTCTGTGCAGCTGCAGATCCCACTCGCAGAGATCGTGATACTGGGCGATTATAACGCTCATCATCCTGAATGGCTTGGTTCTAGCAAGACCGATCATGCGGGGAGATCTGTTCATGCCTTCGCTCTTGCACAGGACTTAACACAACTGGTCACTACGCCTACGCGTCGAAAGACAGATGTCGAGAGTCATGAACCTTCACGGTTGGATCTTTTGTTAACCTCCCATCCCGACGGCTACTTCATATCTGTTGACGCTCCACTTGGCTCCTCGGACCACTGCCTTATTAGGAGTACAGTGCCACCCACGTGCTTGCAACGACCACGTGTTGCACGTAGTCGCCGTGTGGCATTACAAGTCGGCAGACTGGGATGGGTTGCGGTCTTTTTTTGCATCCTACCCTTGGAAACGTATCTGCTTTGCGCCGGATGATCCCAACAACGCCGCCGAGTCTGTTGCTGATGTGGTCCTTCAGAGTATGGAAACTTTCATTCCATCCTCGGTTGTCCCTATTGGTGGCAGATTCCAACCTTGGTTTGGTCAGTCCTCGAGAAAGACTTCTCGTCGAAAGCGGGAATCATACCAAGCCTTGGCAAATGCGGTATTGTCGCGGGATGTAAATACCAGCGCCCTGAAAAAGCAATACGACTTTGCCTCCAGATATTTCAATAGAGACATTGCAAGAGCGAAAGCGAAGCACATCAGTAGAATTGGCCAGAAGCTTGAGCGTCTTCCTTCGGGGACGCGTGCTTTCTGGTCTCTTGCCAAATCTATTCAAGGTAATTTCTGCATTCCTTCATTTCCACCATTGCACAAAGATAACTCCTCATTAGCTCATGATGCAAAAGAGAAAGCCAATCTCCTGTGTAACTTTTTTGCATCCAACTCGACTTTGGATGACCGGGGGCTAAAACCGCCCACCATTCCGCGGTGCGATAGCTCTATGCCTGATATCCGGTTTCACCAAAGCTCAGTGCGTCTAGCACTACTCTCCCTGGATATCCACAAGTCGAGTGGGCCCGATGGTATCCCCCCTATTGTGCTAAGGACGTGCGCTCCGGAGTTGGCACCGGTCTTAACGCGCCTATTCCGACTCTCTTACTCATCAGGCGTTGTCCCAACCTCATGGAAGACTGCTTTAGTGCATCCGATCCCAAAAAAAGGTGACCGCTCGAACCCGTCCAACTACAGCCCGATAGCCATAACCCCCATAAAGATAATGGAGTCCATTATCAACAGCCAGCTCCTTCGGTACCTAGAGGATCGCCAGTTGCTTAGTGACCAACAATACGGATTTCGTAGTGGTCGCTCTGCTGATCTTCTAGTTTACTTGTCACATAACTAGGCTAAGGCAATTGAAACAAAGGGGGAGGCCCTGGCAGTAAGTTTGGACATAGCGAAAGCCTTCGATCGGGTGTGGCACAAAGCTCTGTATCAAAACTTCCATCGCATGGGCTTCCCGAGAAATTATGTGCATGGGTCACTAGTTTTTTGGTAGACAGAAGCATTAAGCTTTTAATCGACGGTGAATGCTCGGACCTACTGTCTATAAATGCTGGTGTTCCCCAAGGAAGAGTGCTATCACCTACACTTTTTCTTCTGCATATTAATGACATGCTGCAAATTAGTGGTATTAAGTGTTATGCAGATGACAGCACGAAGGACTCCACCTATAACGGTCGTGCAAATATTTCTCGGGAAAGCGTCATTGAGAGCCGGAATCAACTTGTGTCTGTTATTGATTCTTCGTTAGAGGAAGTCTCTAACTGGGGTCGACTTAATTTGGTCGACTTCAACCCTGCTAAGACACAGGTTTCTGCGTTCACCGCCAAAAAGGTATCACCTCGCTTTCAAAACAATCCCCTAACTGCCTCAGCCAATATTGAGATTCTTGGTGTCGACATATCGAGCGAGGTCAAGTTCCGTGGTCACTTAGAGGATAAGGCTAAATTAGCATCTAAGAAGCTTGGTGTGCTTAATAGATCGAGGCAGTATTTCACTCCAGCACATCGCCTGCAGCTTTACAAGGCGCAAGATCGGCCCCATATGGAATACTGTTCTCATCTTTGGGCAGGGGCACCTCAATACCAGCTTCTCCCTCTAGACCGCATTCAGCGGAAAACGCTCGAATCGTCGATTGCCGGGACACTTCAAGTCGGCTTGATCCATTGGCCCTGCGTAGAGATGTTACTTCACTGTGCATCTTCTATCGCATTTACTACGGGGAATGCTGTTCGGACCTGCCGCTACTTTCTGCCATCATTCCACGCGACAAGACATCCACGCCCATCATTTGGATGGTTGGAAGTCCTCATTGTGCGTTTTTCTAGAAGTTTCCTGCCTCGCACAGTCAAACTCTGGAACAGTTTGTCGCCAGCGGTATTTCCGGCCCGATATGACCTACACACTTTCAAGCGTAGAGAATATTCGTCCCTCAAAGGTCGGCAGCGCGCTTGTAGCTCCTCTGATGTTGCAGGTGTCCATGGATAGAGGTAATCACTCACTCAGGTGATCCGTCTGCTCGTATCCCATTAAAAAAACGCATATTTGGTCAAATACTTGTGAATGTTGCCATGTTGTCGCGTGGGTTGGCTCAGAAACAAAACTCTGTTATTTTATTGAAAGTACTTTGATTATTCTATAATTAATAATAATTTGTAAAATTTACAACCCGAATATATGATATTCCAACAGATACATTTTTATTCTGATAAATTTATTTGCAGTTTTAATAATCACTTTGGCTACGATGCCACGTCCAAATGTTGGTGGCGCCATTACAAACAAAGTAAAACAAAAGACCGCACTTTGAAGTTAAGCGTTATGTCTTCGGCCATTTTTGAGACTGACGGGCTCCCGTGCTGGTGCCGTGGACACTCACTTTTTTTGGTCACGGATCTACCCTAACCAATTAATTGGTTCTTTCGTATCTACTAAAATATGCAATCATTTCATCAATGCATGCAAATTCAAATTATGCTAAAACATAGCCTAAAAGAAAATTATGCCAATTTATATTGTAGGCCATTTGCATTTTCCGGTTGGACTTGCTTTTTCTTCATAAATAAGGATGATTAATAATGAAATTATTTTATTTCCAGAACTGCAATAACGTCTGAATGTAAAAGTTTAGTGCTCGATTCATTTATTGACAAAATGGTACAAAATCTAACGGAAGATATGAAGACAAAAAGACAGGATCTACTTAAATCAAGAGAAGGTAAATTATATAACTATTTATTAATTTTATAAAGCTTTAAATAAACTTGCTTTTGAGAAAAATAAATCCACGTCATCTATTGGTAATTGGATGTACTTTAAGAAATGATATTGTGAACAATGCAGCTTCATAATATTTAATTAAATCTGTGTATAAAATTGCCTATCAAGAGAAACTAGGTAATACCATTATCAACCAAATATACGATTAAAGTTCATTAATTTGTTAGGTTAGGTTAGTTAAAAAAATTGTTAACCGTTTTCCTAAGGTTTATTATCATTATTAGGCTAGACTATAACAACAAATTACATTTTAATTACAATTACATATTAATTTGGAAAGGGGGTGTATACAAATTGTAGGTATGTCGATAAATACCGATCTTTATAGAAACCTTTCTTCTTTATTTCCAAAGTTACTATATTTGAAATCTTTTAAGCTTTAGAGAGAGTAGGGAAGTGTTATTTGACTATAGGCTTAGACCCCCTCTCCCTTCCTCCCCCATAACACTTCAACCTGTCCTTCTCAGGACAGAGTAGTTGGACAGGAAGTGCATTATATCCCCTGCGTTACCTAAAAAAAAGGATTAGGTAGACTAGCAAACAAAAACTCGTCGGTACAACTGATCACAACAACTGTGTATCACACTCCGCACCCTTCTCAGTCATGTGAAGTAATTTTAATACTATACTAGTACATAAAAGAATATATCGGCCGTGTTGTAAGCGCCATGTTCAAATAGCAACTTTTTTTCTAATCTAAAAAAAAATCTTTTATTTACTTAACAAACACAATATTATATATACTCGGTGGAACAGAACGACCAATACTCCCGAGGTTCCTGGAGAGTTTTATTTGTCTTTAATATGATGTAAAAAAAATTATAAGTCTAGGTCAAATAGTTTCGGAGATATTAAATTACAAAGTTTTTGAAAAAAAAATGAGTGTTTTCAACCCTGAGTCAGCTGTTTTTGGGACGTACTAAGGAAAAGTTTTTATTCGGTCATTGACTTCTTCATTGCTAAAAACGAAATAAACTAGTTTGTGATTTATAAGACTGCTTTCATGCAAATTCTACCAGTCAATCAATAAACAAGGCAGTCAAAATGCTTAAATCGATTTACAGACTAACAGCCGGTTTATGATTTGAAAAAAGTAGAAAATTTCTACTACTTATTCTCAATAACCTAAGTTTTTTTTTAATGTCACAAGTCAAACAGTCTTAGTTTTAACAAACTGCTATCAACTAATCATCAAAAAACTAAAATCGGAAACGAAAACTAAGTGATGTAAGTTTGAGACGTTTAACTTTAAATACTCAATTAAGAAACCGAGTGTAAAATTTCCTAAATTATTGTAGAGAGATCAGTCTAACATTAACCTACGTTATTTTAAAAGAGCAGTTCTCCATAAAAATTGTTTGAATGTGGTAATACTCCTTTAACAACGGGATCGTTAATTAAACTCGATAAACTCACAAATCTTCCAGCGATTCATCATTAACACAAATGAACTTTGTTTTAAAAACATTGAGGAATTTGTTATTAAAATAGCATTTAAAAAGAACATTAAAAATGCGTGATATCAAAAGACGAATGAAAAAAATTGTGAACCGAGTTCGTCCCTCGATATCAAAGCAAACCGCCTGGCGGCTTCGTTATTCTGTCGGTATTTTCCGGCCGATCAGTCGCCGCCGACCTTTTGCGCTGGAGTGTTGTTGCGCATCGCCGCCGACGCACCGCTGCGAAGCGTCTTTTTTGTCGATTTTTGTTTTGTTCTAGTGCATTTTTAATTGAATTTTTGTTAATAAGATACTAGAGTGTTCGTCTTGAGTTTAATTTAGTGAAGATTGTGTTTAGTTTAGTGTGAAATGTGATGTGTTTTGCACGTGCATACACTGGCATACAAAAGAGCGTGCTTAGCTGTCTTCAGAGAAGAATTGAACATTTTCAGCATCGACTATCATTAAGATATCGGTAAATAATTAAATTAAATTAATGTATTTCGCGGTCCGTTGTAATCTGCGCACAATCGATATTGCGCATGCGCGTTAAAGGGCTGACTTAGAAATTCAAAATTTTTACTCCATTTTTACACCTCCTCTATTTTTAAATATTTGTCAAATAAAATGAACGTCTGCATGTAACCTAACTTGAAACTTTCGGCTGTGTCGGTCATTTTGTTCATCCCTGTATGTGTAAATGGTAAAACAAGCTAAGTACAAGTCGGACTCGCGCACGAAAGATTCCGTAGCATTATCCATTTTAAAAAGTTAAAAAAATCACGTTTATTGTTTTTTAACACCTTTGCTCGTAAAGCTGATGTAATTCCACCGATTTTAAATATGTAAAGCGGGTCATAAAAAACGCGTGTGTTACCAAAGCAAATAGTTAAGTCATAGTCCATACAAATTCCATAACAGTATTATTTGCCATTTTGCGCGCTGTTTCTATTCAAATTTCGAACTATTCGCCGCGCGGCGCCAGTCAGTAGGTAGCGCTAGCGCGCTGTCAAAATGGCAGGAAAGCAACAGTGTATATTCACAGATTGAGTTTATTTAATGTTTTTTTTTTTTGTTTCCTCGCAAATGTGTTAAAAACGTCGTACGATATATGTGCGTATTGGTTATAACATGCTCGGCTAAATTACGCCCTCGCCTTCGGCTCGAGCTGAAATTCTGCCTCGCATGCTATACCCATCATAACGCACTAATATCGTAATGTACTATTCTATGGAGTTGTTCGAAATTTTGATGCATAGAGTTGAAGATTAAAAGATGCCAATAATACTAGTACAAAATCTAACGATCGATTACGAAATAAAATGATATAAATAAGCTCAGATCAGTGCCATCTGATTTATAATTATTAAGCATATCTTTGTAACTAACCTGACAACCATCGCCACAGTGACGTCACACAATAACGGGTCGTGTTTCATGTCATGTGACACACGGACAATAAATGTCAACTTATAATTTTAAGATAATAGGATAATCGTGCGATTTTAAGTCTCAAAATCAGAACCTATTATGATGTAAATTTTAGTTTTTGTGCAATTTCATTACTTATTTTTCACTACCGAAACTACCTTATTGGTCGACTAAACTTCTAAGTCATACTTAAGTATGATAGTTTTCCTTTTAACTACGTTTTACATATATAGGTACTACTGCCGTAACGCTTGAATTTTTACGAACGATCGTTTAATTAGTAGAGGGGGAGAGGGACACTGACGAAAATTAGCTATTAGTCATAAACGGTTTACTAAATCGAAATATTGCCTTCCCACACCCTCAATGTTTTTTAAAGACCTGTCCAACGATGTCTCATATTATGAGGAAAACGAAAACCCGTTTTTTTGCGGGATTTATTTAACCACTTTGTCGGTGTAATTAACGTATAATTTTTTTATCTAAACTGCGGGTAGACGGGCAGACGTAACTATAAATGAGGTTCGATAACAATAATCTAGGACTCTGAGTAGATCCAGTAATATGTAGTATGAATTTCAATATTATGCAGACTAATAGAATAGTTTATGAAGCTGTATTGTTTGCAGAACTCGAGTCCGAACTGGCGTGCCAACTCAGCATGGGAACTAGTCGGTATGCTATTTTATATGATTAATTCATTGAACTACTTATTTTAACAAAATCAAGCTGTGTTGACATCGTTTTTTTTTTAATATGTTTATAAATCTTACAGAAGAAGTCACAGCTATGATACAACCGACTACGACATCGACTCCGAATCGTTCGAGGAGGGGGAGGAGGGGGACCTCTACGAGGACTAGTACGTACTTTGTACATCATCATCGTCAGCTCTTTTACGTCCCCACTGCAGAGGCTCAAGCCTTCCTTTTAGAAGGATAAGCCATGAACCTCTGGCTGGAAGTATAAGTCATGAACGCTGGCGCGGATTAGGGAGTATTGACGACTGCAAATGCAGCCGGGACTAATAGCTTAACGTGCCTTTTGAAGCGCGGAGTACTATAAACTATAAACATATTGTTTGTTGTTTAATTTAATTATCGGAATTTCCCTGTTTTCGTAATTTCCCAAAGTACCCTTCCGAAGGCTAGGCTGTGGACAAAGATCCCTTTGCCGTTTTTTTTTAATTTACGAGTTTTATGGCTGTGCATACTAGTGTTTCTAGAAAACTATACCATTTTTTTAACTTAATTCCCTAAAACGGGGAACTTTCAGGTTTGAAACTTTGATGAAAAATAAAGGATTGGGTCTAGGTGCTATGATAATTTTCTTTATAGTGGTGAGATTTTTTCAGAATAAAGCACCAAATGCTTAATTAATAAACACTACATATTATAGGAATGATGAATGAGTAAAAAAAAGGAAATGCTATATAATCCGTCGGCCAGATAATTTTCTTAGGTACAGAAGCCATGGACGCACTTGGTGAATAAAGTATCTAAATCTAAATAGATAAAGTATCATTATAAGCTTTATGTACCTCTATCTGTATCTTTATGTTGGTCATCTCTTCCTTCCCTTTGAATTTACTTATTATTTTACATCAGTAGATTTAGGTATAATGTTTCCTTCAAACAATGCTCTGCCTACAGCGACGATTACGATACCTACTGGCCGTTCCGCAGCCGGCACTACGACGACGATACGTCCGATTCATACGGTGGATCTGACGAGGATGCCGACAGTGCCGGTGACAGTGCCGGATCGACCGCCGGTGATAACGTACCCGCCGTCGCAGCCGCACAGGCTGCGGGGAACGGCGACACCTCAACTGTTCCGAATAGTACAAGTAAGTTTCAATAACATCATCACTTACATTACTCAGACCATCGTTATCGTCGTCGTGTCTGATTTTAGACATAGGCCCCTTCCAATTTTTTCCATGTCGGGCGGTTTTAAGCGTTTTTCATCCAGTTATGTCTTCGAATATCATATTAGAAGACACATTACTCAGATACGAAATTAAATAGCTAAAAGTCCTTGTTTATATTTTAGGAATGTACTGCAGTGGCGTAGCGTAGTGGGGGAGGGGGGGCGGTCCGCCCCGGGCGGTTCTTTTTAGGGGGCGGCCTAATTTCACAGTAAACAATAAAATATATTTTATAAATATTCGAACCAATTCATATTTTTAACGCAACTTTAAATTCGGACCGAATGAAAAGAGCACGGAATTTTTCTTTATTTATTCTGTGACGAAGTCGGAGGATACTCTTTCTTTAAATTATATTTTGTAGCGAACGGCAACACCATCTATACTGACTTACGGAGGATTCCCCGTATTTTTTTTTTTTGTGCTTGGATTGTTTATGACTTATAATCAGCAAGAATTACTCCTATTACATATATATTAAGTTCAATATTGTTTATTTCGTCCCTTTAAGAGATTACGTGATGTTTTGAAAATTCAAAGAAAGTTTTATTTATGGATCTTCAGTATTGCGAGGGACAAAGTACACCCAAAAAAGAACAATTATTTGTAAATCACACGAAAAATTGTCTTTTATGGGGATTGAACCACAACAGTCGATTCGTGGGCAGTTGCATGGCGACAACCAAACTCGACCTAACATGCAGTCAAAATCTAACCTGTGTAATGAAAAATAATGATGACTGTTGTTGCCAAAAAATCTTTAAAATTAATGCTTATAATGTATAGTACAATTATATAAATTACCTATGAAATACCTTATTAAGAAGGTTAGCAAAATTGTCTTCCGCCCCGGGCGGCAGACACCCACGCTACGCCACTGATGTACTGTCTTCCAAAAAAAGCGCCCGTAACTTAAAAATAGCAAAAGCAACGCGTGAATTCGATATATACAACCTTATCAGGGCGCTTAAGAAACCCAGGACGTTTCTTAAACAGTATCCAGGATACTATAAAAACTAGGACATGTCCTGGGAAATCAGAAAGGTTGGCAACCCTACACTAATATAATACGTTGTTAAGTCTAACAAACCCGAAGTGCGAAGAAACCTAAAATTTAAAGCAGGGGAAACCTGAGGCCTGTTTGAGGTGTAGTCAACTATTTTGTATTTTTATTTTATGCATATACATGAAATATATCTAATGTGTCATTTATATAATAAGTTAAAATCGAAAAATAAATTTAATTTCCCGCGAAAACGCCAACTTATGTCATGGCATCGCTCTGACGTCACGCCCCTAACGCCCCTGTAAAACTAATATCGTTCTATGTATGTATAAGGTTTAATTCTCTAAGTTCTTATATGAGTAAGAGGGGCGTTACGTCACGCGCTGTTTGCGTTCACGTGATAACGAGTTAAAAATATTTGTAATTTAAGCAATATTATAAATACAAACAGTATATTTAATATATTATATTATATATTATAACAGTATATTTAACAGTACCAGAAAAAAAAATTATTTTCTTTTACTGTCTTCTTCCGTATTGACTAATTTTAAAATCTAGCCCAATCACTTTCAATTTCGTACAACACGAACACGAACTTCACGCTACAACTATTTCACATGTGGTAGCGATTGCGTTCGCGACGGTTTTTAATAGATATCGAATGAACTGTATCGTTAATTTGAAGTTTATAGGAATTCTCTAAGGCAAGCGTTAGACGAAAATATTAATTTAAGTTAATAAGTTTTTATTATGTTTCTTGATCATCAAATCATCACGTTCCTCTTTTAACGTTACTTAATTCCCGATTGCGTCTTTTAACGTTACTTAATTCCATAAATGCTATTTAAATCACTATGAAAGTTATTGCAATAGATTTTGAAATTAGACAATCAGACCGCTGCGTTGTATTTAACATCTTATGTTTATGAAAACCAGACACATTATAAATATCATATTATGTTCGGTCTCTGTACAAACGATAATTCACTATACGCCATTCGTTTGGTCGTATTGTTCCATTTGATCGAACCCAATCGGAAATTAAAGCCGCGACTGTAGAGATGGCATAACACGATAGGGAGCTTCCGTTACAAAATATCTTAATCTACTTCCTGTGGTTAAATGTCTCAAGGGCGTTTATTCTGAATTTATTTTATCAAAAAATTTATGCAAATATTTTGGACATACATAATTAATATAATATAACGTGTTAATAAAAGAAAATGTAGCAGTACATCATGCAAAAATTTCAGTGGACTGATATACTAAAAAAGTACACGTTTCAAAACAAAAGAATAATTTCAACTTCGTCATTAACACTGATATTGAAATTTATCAAACCCCATTTCGTTATTTCATTTCTATATTGAAATTATCTCACAAAAGTTACCATGTCTAGTTTTACGATAACGAAAATTCCTAGTAAATTTTTCATGTATGCTTACTCGTAAAGTCCTCATTTCTCACTTAAACAGCCGCAAATAAGACAAACGCCCTGAAATCAAAGTTGTAAAAATGTATCTTAAATCATCGAGTTTTTTTTTAAAACAGACGGGCGGACAAACGGTAATGGTCCTACTCGGCGAAGGGGAAACGTCCCGGGTGTCCCGGGCTCCTACTACGGTGGTTACGGGCGCTGTTTCAACTGCGGCGCCCGCGGCCACTGGGCCCCCGGCTGCCCCTACAGATAGCTCTCGATAGAGACGGAGCATTCCAGAACTTATCTCTTGGCTCTACACAGACGGAACATTCTAGAACGTTCTAGAATACCTCTCGGCTCGAGACGGAACATTCTAAAACTACCTTACAGTGAGTGATATATGTGACTTATAACGTGAGATTTGTGTAAAGTTTTTATTCATGTACAATGTTATTGTTCATTTAATTGATTAATAATCTATTGTTTTTATTTAGATCTGATGTTCATGGTTTTGACTTTTTTTTATTTAGATTTTATAATATTTTATGAAAGTGCCATTTTTGAAAAACCTTAGATACAACAGTGACGCGTCAATGAAACGCCAAGATCTATCCATCTAACAGTGACGCGTCAATGAAACGCCAAGATCTAAAGAGTTTAAACGCATCGTAAGGACGGATTCACTTTAGTCGTGCACAGGAGGAGTCAACATCGTGCCGAAACGCGATGAAACCGTTTAAAATTTATATATTTTTATAGTAAAATTACTTTTAGTTAAACAGTTACTTGTGGTCATCGAAATACGTATAACTGTTACAAATTCATAGGGAACGTTGTATCTAGGGTTTCTATTACGCAAAATTGAAGTGAATGTATCGATATACAATATTATTGTAATACATGTATATGACACAAATCTGTTCGAGATCACATTCCATTAAAATAAACGAGAATACAATATCTATTATCTATATATAAAGAGAAATACGAACGATTGGAATAAAGCAAACGCCATAACTAATAGAATTAGCCAGGTACAGTCAGACTATACAAAACTAATAAATATTCCGATTCGATTTTGAAACTTAATACCTTGTTAATAGAGGTCGAAATCCATTGTAGAAATTTGACATATTGTAGAAAGCTGACGTGCAGCTGTGTGTAAACAAACAATATGGTTTGTTTTGAATATTACACGTTGACATCCACCAAACCCTTCTTTCGCCGATTACTCGTTCGTGCTCGGCGGCTCGGATATAGTCCAAAACGGCCGGCGACTAAATTAAAGAGGATCAGAAGTCTGATTGTCTAGTTTTCAATTTGACATTTGGAGAAAAAATATATATATGTGAAGAGTGAGACAGATGACAAAGTAGTTCACATTATATTGATGTCGATGGTTTATTTTTGAGCTCAATTCGTCAAGGACATTGGAAAAAATCCTTCACATGCATGCCATCGTATTAGAAAACTATGATTGTAAAACAAATGTGTTTATTAATAATTAAACTTAATGATGTTCATTATTCTTAATAAATAGGCTTAAAAAATCCACTGTTCATAATGAAAATTAATGATTACGTAGAACACTAATTGAAGGGCGTAACAACTGAAACGCCTAGCCTGAGATATGTTAATTGTTCATATTTTCTCGTAATAAAACAATGTTTTAATTCCGTATTTACTTACTGTTGGTTATCAGAGATAATTTCGGTGGCGCGCGTGAAGAAATTGATATGTCCAAAATATTATTTTTACAGGGCAGCGTTTTAAAGTTTGAGCTCGCTTGGCAAATCTTTTTATTTGTAAATTACATGTTTGCACCTTAATTTTGGCGTAATTTTGTGCTTTTTAGTGTTTTCTTTTTTCTTAAAATACTTCCTCATTATGTCGAATTGATGATTGATGATAATTTATGTTAAATTGTATGAATGATTTCTCGCTTTCGTCTGATCTCCTTTCATAGTCGATATTTTGCCCATGACAAATGATTTCTTACGAACGCGGATACTAATAACTACCAATAATTAATTATAATTTGATCGGTCTTTGTTTTTATAATTATAAATAATTTACTTGTATCATTTAGAAAACAAGCTTTGGTTAGTCATAACTCGATATCTAAATTAAACATTAACTGATTGAAACTATAACTAATAAGACAAGTTGAATTATTATAACGTTTAAGCAAAGATTCTTGTCGCATAGTAATTGACATCTAAACATAACAAATTGCATTATGGTGATTAGAAAGTTTATTCAATGAATATGTTAAGATATACGGTTATGTGTTTTATGGATTTCATTAGATCAATTTTGATAAATCGTGATATCGAAAAGTGATACAATTAACAGATCAATATTAAATTTAATAACTCATTATATTAAATGATGCATCTATGATTTCGAGTTGACCAAATATTACCAAAGGGGTGACCTTCAAGTACTTACATTTAGAGTTGTCATTTTTTTTCATAATAAATGGAATAAAAAGAAAAACATACAATTCGAGTTATCAACTTCTTCACGTGAACCATGGATTTAATGTATTACTCTATGATTACTTTTTCCCATATCGAGATAAAAATGTAAATAATTTAAGTCCTTACGTTTTTTTATAAATGCGTCGCTGTTTTAACGAAAATATAAAGTATCCGAATCTGCTGTTAAAAAGTAAAACGGCAAAATATTCTTAATGAAAAATCCATGTAAAATTTTTCATTAACAATATTTTTCAATAAATGCTATACTAATATAATATGATATAATGTGAATGCGAAATTAATCAAATATATTAAGTTATACAGAATTTAAATGATCATGCTTTGGTATGACAGTGGATCAATTTGGCAATGAAATCACTGAATTTTTATATAACTATCTGTATTTACTCTGTTTAGCATATCTACATATCAGCCATCGTTGATGTACTCATTAGTTGTGATCGTTTGTACAGATGCGTCACGTCATCACACCAAAGGGTCAAGTTTCTCCAAAGGATTTTAAGACTTAATCTGTTAGTACTTGAGTTCAAAATTGATAGTAGAAAGTTGGCCTTTATAATAATATAATATTTGAGCATATGCGCAATGTGAATGCGAAATTAATCAAATATATTAAGTTATACAGAATTTAAATGATCATGCTTTGGTATGACAGTGGATCAATTTGGCAATGAAATCACTGAATTTTTATATAACTATCTGTATTTACTCTGTTTAGCATATCTACATATCAGCCATCGTTGATGTACTCATTAGTTGTGATCGTTTGTACAGATGCGTCACGTCATCACACCAAAGGGTCAAGTTTCTCCAAAGGATTTTAAGACTTAATCTGTTAGTACTTGAGTTCAAAATTGATAGTAGAAAGTTGGCCTTTATAATAATATAATATTTGAGCATATGCGTCTATATCGACGCCTAGACTTATAATTTTAAAGTCATAGAAATGTTACAAAATGTATAATTATAATACTTATTATGAATCAGAATGATATACCTGCGATTGTTATTTTTTAAATACAATTTGATATTAAGTATGTTCCTGTATGTTATTTCGCCAATAATTTGAATTTCTAACTCATCTATGTGCCATCTGAATTCGTTTCATGTTCTTCAGTAAGGCAGCACCATGGCCCAGTCGACAAGTTTCCCCTCCCCTGGCCCGCGCCTACAGCTGTACTTATTTGTCTACGGGACCTCCAACCGGAATTTACGATTTGATTGCCATCCTTGTTGTTAGTGCATACAAAACGTTCTATTTTATCTACTCCAAATTTAATGTCTGCTTCATCCATAGATTTTGTTTTACTGGAAAATGTGTTGCACTCTACGACTGCTACTGACACTCGAAAGCGCTTTGTCTAGTCTACACCCAAATATCACTTCTCGGGTGCTCCATCTAAGCATACGACGACGATACCTCATTGTCGACCCAGGAAAAATGGTGTACACAAAACTTCGTGCTGGCAAACACCAACGGGTGTGTGCGACTCTCCTTAATAGAGCAAGAGCTAGCGACAGAAATGTGCAAGAGTTTTGTAACAGTTAACCTCGGTATGATAAAATTACTTTAGGCCAAGAACGTTTATGTCGTTTTCAAACCTTCAATATCAATATCGGTTTGTACTGTCTGGCGATCACAGAAAACATAAAATACAAACAAGAAAGTTATAGAACTAACGTAACCCTAACCTAATTAATTATAAACTAAACAAATACGTTTTAATGGCGGACCGCGCGAGCTGTCGCGACAGCAAGGGGAGCGCGGGAAACTACAAATAACGCGTGCGCGCAGTAGTGGGCTCGCCGGCAGACTCACTATTTGAGCGTCGAATTCGTCGAGCCGAACCATTCGTCGGCGCACCGGCGAATCCAACTAGGGATCACGGTAGCGTTTGGGTCTACTTTGGCGAGACGATCGCTGGGGCAAATTACGTTTTGCTACATTACTAGTTAGAATCACTCCTTTCATTACCCAGTGCAGAAGAGGTAGTGTGGGAAAACCAGAATATGCAGTCTTGACAATTTACACTTGTAACTCGACAGTTTGCATTCAGCTTTAGTATGGTATAGATTATTATAAGACTGCCATATTTACTCAGTATAATTTTCAAAAACCTATTCAAAGGTTCCAATCCAATCCAATTTTCTTCATACATTCTAAATGAATACAGTTGACATTAGAATTAAGGATTCGGCATGTAGGTAGGTATATAATCTGGGCCACCTGCCGAGGCCCATTGGGTCCTGCGCAGCGGTCAGTGGCGCATACGTCGCTGCATCATCGTGCGGTTACCCGACCATCTGGGACCCCTTTGATTTTTCGGCACAATGGCCAGCTGGCCGGATACGTAGATCAGGGGCACTCGCATGACGGGTAACACCGACCTGCCTCTGCATGGGCTTGTACCGGACGTCTGCGTATCCCGTTAATTCCGTGATGATTACAACTTGTCACGCTAACGAGGCATGTGTCAGCTGGCTTTCAAATTAGGTTACCACCCTTCAGACAAAGCCATACCGCCAAACGACCTGTCGTGTTCCGGTATGATGTCTGACGAAGCCGAATGGAGGATGGGAGACAGGTACGGTTGGCCAAGAAAGTGGTCTACCAGTTTTGACAACATTTCCCGTGTCTTTAAAGCATCGCTAAAGGCGAATCTTAGAATTGCATACAAACAATAAAAGAGATGCACAATGCTGACGTGTTGTCGTAGAGCACAAATGTTATTTTGACCTTTGCAGCCTATGCATTAGATAATAATTTGCAACAACAAATAGTCTTCACAATATTTCATAAATTTTAAATTTAAGTAGGTCACTTCAAAGTGGAAACTATTTTGTTACGAAAACTCTTTTACTGAAAAAGAATATATCACTTGCCAATTCATGTAAAATATTTTCTCGGCATTTTCCGTAGGTATTTTCCTAATTAATTTACACTACAATGCCCCGAAATTTATCCAATAACGAAAGAGCACAAATAATCGCATTACACAATGATGGTTTGAATATTAGTGAGATTTCTAGAGAATTAAATGTGTCGGTAAGTATTATTATGTCTGACGTGAGTTTAATGTAAAATCTCAGACCAAGGCCGAGTGTAAATTTTTTTTTTTATTTTTTCTGTTCATATTTTATTTTTGATTATAGAGACAAGCTGTCCGTCTTTGGATAAGACGAGAAAGCGAGGAGGGGAATTTGAACGCTCGGAGTCGTAGCGGTCGTAGACCTGAAATATCAGATACTCAGCGAGTCTTCATGAGACGGAGTTATGAGGAATCTGGCTTTATACCAACGCGTTATTTTGCCGACATATTTGACGTGACTCTCCAAACCATTAGAAACCATTTACATTACATGGGCTTACATCACAGGCGTTATGCAAAGAAAATTTATATGACTGACGCTCATAGAATGGCCAGATTAAATTTCGCCATAGAATATTTGGATTTTGATTGGAGTAACACTGTTTTCTGTGACGAAAAAACTTTTAAATACAGTCAACACGGTCATCTACACCTTTGGCTATTCAATAAAACGCGATACACGCAAAATCATGTCGTGCCAAATAGAGAATCGGGTCGTATCTCGGTAAATTTGTATGGATGGATGACTGCTGATGGTGTTGGAGACTTGTCCTTTTTGCCACCACGAGCAACGGCATCAGATTATGTTGATGTTCTCCAAAATGCTATGTTGCCATCCGTCCGGAACGTTTATCCAGAAAATGAAATGCGTCAATTTAATTATTTACAGGATAACTGTCCCTTACATAAAGCAAGGGTAACACGTGCTTGGTTTGATGCACATCCGGAAATAAACTTGATACCATGGTCTGCAAAATCGCTAGAACTCAACCCTATGGAAATATGTGGGGTCTTATGGTTCAGAGATGGTGTAACCGTAACGAACGAACAGCAGAAGCACTACAAGGGCACTGCAATGAGGTTTGGGAGGAAACACGTGGGTCTGATATCTGCTCAAGACTGGTGGGCTCGATGAGGGAACGTCTCCAAGCTGTTATAGAGGCAGATGGCGGCTACACAAGATTTTAAGAATTATAATTTTATAAAAGAATTGTATATACTTTTTAACAACCAAAGAATTAGCATTTTCACTATCTCTTCTAGTTTTAGCCCTTGTCTCGCACTAAGCTATGGGTCGGCGCAATATGTTTTTCGTCGCTATTCATTTCTGTTATCCGTTATCTCAGTATATTCAGACCTATAACACGCATAGCTTCTTACGCATAGCATTTCACTACCTACTGATTTTTTTTATTTGTATTAAAATATAATTAATCTACATTCTAATGTAGGATATTTGTAGACTATAAGACTTTATTTACGATATTCTAACTCTAAAGTATTTAAACATACAAAGAGACAGACAGAAAAAAAAATATTTTTGGCTTCTATTAGTCTTATGAAGGCCGTCCATATATTTTTTTTTCCAAAATATCTTACAAATGTAACCTTGTTACATTTTTATTATAGGTATAGATAATTACTGTCAAAGGTTACGTCAAAATGATGAAGATAGCAATAATGACGTGTACTTGACGTGCCCGACGTACGGTGCCAAAACACGCCCATGGTATAACGCCGAATGCGTTCGAGCAGAAAAACGTAAGCATTCGGCATATCTCGCCTGGGTTGATGCTCGACACCGCAAAGCTCCTAATATTACATCCAAGAAGAAAGCCTTTAACCTAGCCGCCAAGTCCTGCAAGAAGGCATTGCAGAAAGCTGGTAACGACCGCATAAGACATATCGGCGTAAAACACTCGGCCCAGCCTTCGGGCAGTAGAGAATTTTGGTCACTCGCCAAAGCGGTTGAAGCTAATTTCTGTAAGCCTACGCTGCCTCCGTTGGTAAGACCGGATGGCTCCCTGGCCCACGCGGCAATTGAGAAAGCGGACCTTTTCGCATCTCTCTTTGCCGAAAACTCGCGTCTAGACTCTAGCAACAACACTCCACCTTAGATACCTCATTGCGGTACATCTATGCCTGAGGTCCGCATTACTAATTAGGAGGTCCTAAAAACTATGCGAGGCCAAGACGTTAACAAAGCTAGTGGGCCTGATGGTATACCAGCGGTTGTACTAAAGCGCTGCGCGCCCGAGTTGTTTCCTGTATTAACACGCTTGTTTCGCCTCTCATTTCAGACTGGGATAGTGCCCAAATCATAAAAGCTTGCCAATGTGCAGCCTGTGCCCAAAAAAGGAAGCCGTGCCGATCCGTCCAACTATAGGCCAATCTCGATTACCTCCATACTCTGCAAGATTATGGAGCGTATATTGAACAGACGCCTAATGGCATACCTAGAACACAATGATCTCCTCAGCGACCGACAGTACGAGTTTCGCCGAAACCGGTCTACAGGAGATCTTCTAGTGTAAGTCACTTACATATGGGGTGAGGCTTTCAAAAAAACCGGGGAAGCGATTGCTGTTTCTCTCGACGTCTCCAAGGCCTTCGATAGGGTCTGGCACGCTAGCCTTATAAGCAAGCTTCCATCGTACGGCTTATCCCTGGGCCTGATCAGCTGGATCAATGACTTCTTGAGAGAACGTTCGTTCCGAGTCGTTGTCAATGGCCTTTCATCACGAGCAATGGCAACCAATGCCGGAGTTCCTCAGGGGTCTGTCCTCTCCGCAACTCTCTTCCTACTGCACAGTAACGATCTGCTTATACCCGGCATCTATGGGTACGCAGATGACAGCACAGTCATGGAGAGATACCTGCCTTACGCCCGGGCCAGTTAAGACCAAATACAGTCTCACACTTCAGGCAGTCTCCGAATGGGGCGATGCCAACCTTGTGAGATTCAACGCCACCAAAACACAAGCGTGTCTGTTCACCGCCAAACGGAGCCCGTTCACCTTGGCTCCTACTCTCCGAAATGTCTCCTTGGAATATACCGACCGCCTTCAGTTATTGGGAGTAGAGATATCCTCTAAAGGCTCATTGAGTCCAAAGCTAAAAAATAAAACCAACCATGTAGCTCGGTAAGTAATTAACTAGCCTAGCAGTTTGTCATCGAGTCGTGTCAGTAAATATGGCAGCGCCACGTTCTTGGATTTTAAAATAAATTATTGACTACCAGTCTCAACATTATCTATCCACTAGCTTTTGCCCGCGACTTCGCCTGCGTGGTTCTAAAGTCCAGAAATGAGAAAATTACATAAAAGCTTTCATCTTCAATTACGTCCTAAAAAGAACCCACATGGAAAATTTAAAACTTCTAGCACTTGTTTGATACAAATCCTAATTTCAACATTCCACGATTAGTAGTTTCATTTGTACGTTGTCTGTCAGTCAATCACTCAGTAAATAAGGGATTAGAATAATTTATTTCACTTTACGGAATCATGGAGTAGTGAATTATTGGATAACAAAGGTTTGTAATAAATAAATTCATGATATATTATCACTAGACGACAACGTTGAATTTCTTAAGACAAGCGTCGTCTTGCGCTAGGCATTAGCGTAAGTAATTCGTAAGACTTGGCATTTTTTAGTTAAGGTTTTCCTTGTTCTAGGTTAGAGAAAACAGAAGTGAGACTCATTTATCTCTAAAACTAAGTTACTTAATCACGTTTCTATTTTAAAATTGATAAACAAAAGACTTTATTTGTCAAAACATCGTTTCATTATCCATGAGGGTTGCACTACAAAACTGACTGACACTTAATTAGGTCACGTCCTCATTAGGTACGCATGACCTCAAATAGTACCCTGCGTATTCGCTTTGTTAAAATTAATTAAATGAAAATTATTTCAGAAGGGACCATATTGTAATCTTTAAAATCAGTTTCGGCTCGTATTTGGTAGACGTCTAATATAATAATATCTGGTCAGTAATATTAAAAAGCAATTATTTTTAGATCAAGTAATGGAAAGATAGTATTAACAGTTGTTTGAAACATTTTATTAAATAAAGAACATAAAACTAGTTATATAGCAATGTTGAAATCACATGGTAGGCATGACCACAAAAATAGAAAACATTTATATCAATATGAATAGTGCAAACAATTCTCAGTTTGAGACAATACCAATATACCAAGACAATTCGTTAAATTAATAGAATTTATTTATGGTTCATAATAATTAAACAAGATAATTATTTACACTAGTGAAAAGATCTCCGTTACATTACATAATCAATATAGCCGCATACAATCAGAATCTATAAAAATGAGTTTTAAAAACATTTTTAAGAAAAAAAAAGTCATTAATAGTACTCAAAATATGTACTCTTGTGCTTTCCACAGAAAACCGTAGAAATATTTCTCACTGAACAAGTATTTCTCTGTACTACAAGGATTAACAAATAAACAATAATCCCCTAAAAGCAGAACATAAAATTCCTCGATCATACAAGATACAATAAAACATGAAAAATTATATCATAATCTATAACTAAATAGATAAATTGTGTTGAATAAGCAAGACCAAATATTTTGAGTCACAATTTTGGATGTCCAATCACTAGAAGTAAGTTTTTAAGATTAATATAGCTAATTATACAATTTTAAAGAAAATGTCCATTATATTTAATACTACACTATTAAGTAAATATAAATATACTACAATAATTATTTTTTCACTACATCAGTTAATTATTTATAAATAGTATAGTATGTGAAACATCATTCTAATGTAAAACATTCCATTTATACATGTAATATATTTCTAATTCAAAACAGATGTACGTAAATAATCATTATATTAATACAATTCGAATCATTTCTAATCATTTTTCTTATCAGCATCAGCACTCTGCTCTCCACCTTCTGTGATAGCAGCAGTTCCATTCTTAGCTAATTTCTGTTGTTGTTCCATTTCACCAGAAAATCCAAATTCATTAACACGCTTGTGGTCAACCTTGTAGATCCACCTCTGATATAAGAATATAAAGAAGACAATATCTGTAACAAAATGTGATTCACATTTAATTTAATTCATAGGACAAAACAACAAAATCTAATATAAATCATAAACATGTTTACCATCTCTGAAGCAACCAATACGGTACATTGTTGGCATTTTGATAACAAATGCAAATATGTCATCTATAAATGTATTCAAGAACTTGTAAGTCATCATACGCCATGGCAAATGAGCAACAGATTTCAATTTATAATTTATAAACAATTGTGGAGTCATCATAATAAATCCAAAGGTCAATAAATACCCATACATCATGTTGAGTATAAACGAGTACCATCCTTTATGCTCTTGATACATCAAAGAGTAAACTCCATAACCAATCAACAACGGGAAGCAAGCCCAGCTTAGATAGCGGAAAGCCAACATATCATATTCCCTAGTACTAGATTCAACATATGAACCTTTATCAGTAAAAGTAAGTTTAGGTATTCCTAATATGCGTTCTTCTCTATTTATTTTAACATCCATTACTTTGTTGATTTTCCAAATTTCTATCAATAATCCAATAAAACAGGATATTCTGACCATTACATTAGTTTCATTATCAAGCACATACAATAAGACCACAGTCGATTGGAACACATTGAAAAATACTGATCTCACTGACAATCCTTCCAAAGACTGTCTATTATTCCAGAACTGAATGTCATTCTTAAATGCCAGAAGCTCAAATATAGAATGTAAAACAGAAACTGAAATAGTAAGTCCTAACAAGTAAGGAGATGTGTCCAGAAGCAATTCTTTTACTGTATCCTGCTCTTCATCTTGTTCCTCTGCACCCAAAGCCGAAAACATGCTTAACTTATCTCTCATAGCTTGTGCTGTATATAATTGCCATTTAAAAAGACTTAAGGGTTGATATGTAAGCTGTAATTGAAGATTTGTAGTAGTTTGATTTATAGGAGTATAGTCTCTCATCATATTCCAGTAATCATTAAGGAATACAGCTGGTTTATATTGTTTGCCATCAGGAAGGAACATTATAAATTCATCCAGAGGGGGTGGTACACTTCCTTGCATCCAATTAGTCTGATCAGTAACTAAATTAATAGTCAAATTCGGATGCCAATGTGAAACTATCTCTTCTTTCAAAGTCTCAGCTTTTTTAATTTCTTCTAAAGACTTTTCAGTTTGACCAGTTAACAAATTATGAGTTTTCTGGTATCTTAATTTCTTGTATTTATTCAACATCTTATTTCCATAACTTATATATGGCCCACCATAATTTTCTTTGTCTTTTGGATCTGGTGACTTGCCAGTCTGAACTATATAGACATGAAGATATATTGATCCATTATTTCTCAAAGAATCAGATGCAGTGATATTAGTTTCAAATGTAAAAGAACCATCGCCATTGGAGCCACCATTCCAGTCACCATAAATTAAACCTCTATGTTTCCAAATAAGACTAGCATCATTGAGATCATTTAGAAAGCTTTTTTCTGATATATAGCAATACATATCTAATACTGTGCCATTTACAAACATATTGACAGCGGGAATACGAGGCGCTCCTGTAGGACTGTTGATATCTGGTTTTGGAGCAGAAGGTTGTCTAAACATCGACGTAATGAAATAAACTACTAATGCTCTAATAATAAGGGATTTGGTAATAGCGAAAAAGGATTCTAGTTTGGTCGGTTGCATTCGCCGCCGCTGCTCGTCGATTTGAGCGTTGATCTAGAAAAAAAAAGGTTATTTAAAAAAGCAAGGACATTATTGAATTTGAAGTCGCCAGTCTTACAAAATGTAATGTAGTAATGTTAGTTTATAAGTTAAAATTGATATTCATTTAAACAGTATTAATTCTAAACTTTTGGTTTAGCACTCACATCCACAGTGTCGTCCACTGTTCCATCTGTGTTGGCAATATTATTATCAGTGGGAACTAATCTGTTCGTCTCCTCATTCGTGTCTTCGTTGGAATTCGACATTTTTAAGGAATTATCATTAAAATCGCTATGATATCACTCACAAAAAATATTTTATGAAATCAATGAAATGATCAATCACAAGGAAAATGTCCAAAGAGTAAAAAGAAAGAAGTTTTAAAATGTCAACCAAAGAGTGCTTGTTTTACTTTTTTTTAACTCTATGCTTTCACTATTGCCATGGACTTAGTACTATATAACAGGACATAGTCTCCCAGCTGAAATGCGAGCCGAACCGGTATGTCAAGTACATAGGCTATTTGTCCCTTTCTAATAGGGTGACAATAACTTTTTAATTAACTGAGACTTTTCATATGGTTCAGTTTTTTAACTAATGCGGCTTTTATCGTATGCAATATTATTTTTTAAATTGTGATACATTAAATATATTTTTTATTTTTATTGTGATAATTCGCGAATCGCGCGCCTTTATAATATGTATAGAGAAACGCAAGTGTTTGTTTATTCATAAGATTGCATAATCTGCCAATATCGGTCACTTGTCGTCATGGGAGGTTATTTTTTGGGTTTAAAATGTTGTCCCAGTACGAATTACTAGGTATAGGTTTACCAGAATCTCATGGCAATAAAAAAAATGTAAATTTCATATTGCTTAAAGGAAACTAAATAATTATGTATTAAGTAAATTTTGATGCATTTTTAGGTATTTCCAGTACCATTGTACGACGAACCATATGTGAAGGCACATCAAATGATGGTGTATTTTCTACGCCCGGTAAAAAGAGAAGAGGGGGAAAGAAAAGAATTAATATAGATAGTTTTGATTTAGATTTTATTAGGAACAAAGTTAAAGAATTATATACAGTACGAAAAGAAATTTCAACAGTAATGAAAATTTTACAAATTCTTCGTAATGATATTAACTTCCAAGGAGGGAGAGAATCATTAAGTTGAGGAACAATATCTGTAAAATACAAACTATGTATAGTAATGAATTATTGTCTGAATAATATATAATTTATGTACATAAATATCGTAATCAGCCTATTGTAGTCCACTACTGGACGTAGGCCTCCCCAGGGCATGCTCATTTGGAGGGTTTTGCCTGTAGTCACCACGCTGGGAAGGCGGGTTGGTGACCGTAGGGAATGTTATATAATTTCGGACTGTGTTTTCAGTATGGGAGTCGCTGCTGCCCACCACGAGTATAATCCCTTTATCGCCTCTTACGATGTCCACGGAAAGATATGGGGTGGTACCATTCTACTCAGCCGGCACCACATATACGCTTATAGATTTTGTACATAAATATTAATTATATAAATATATATAGCGAGGATAATTAAAGTTAAAAAATATTTTTTTATTTGATTTTCCTGACTAATTCTTAAAGAGGTTGGCTTTGAATATGTTAAATGTCAATCGAAAAGAGTAATTTTGATGGAGCGAAATGAAATTACAAAGATATAAATATTTAGAACGCTTGAAGAAAAACAGAGAGGCTGAGCAACATTACAAAGTAGATGTTATATATTTAGATGAAACAAATATTCATGGTTCATGTTCCGTGAACAAGTGCTGGCAAAACAAAGACCTTGCAGGTCCACCTAAATCTATGTCACTGGGAGTAAGGTGGATTATTGTTAACGCCGGTGGAGAAAATGGCTTTGTACCAAATTATTGCCTAGTATATAAATCAAAAAGTATGTCTGCTGACTATCACCATGACATGAATAAAGAAAATTTCACGAAATGGGTGACTGATAAGCTTATTCCAAATCTGGCAAAACCGTCAATTATTGTGATGGATAACGCAAATTATCATTCCGTTCAGCTTAACAAGCTAATCGTGTCGCTAAAATAAAAGAACGGCTTACTGCAAACAACATTCATTTTGAGGATAGGTGGCGTAAATGCAAAGTAATTGAAGCTATCCAGGAGAACAAGTCCTGCATACGAAATTGATCAAATGTTAAAATCACGTGGTCATGAAGTTTTACGGTTCCCACCTTATCATTGCACACTTAATCCTATAGAAATGAGTCAATTTTTCAAAGTTATAAACCTGTTATATTAGTACAACTTCCATGACTATTGTTCTGTGTCAAAGTCAAAGAGATGGAATACAGGAATGTAGTGATGAGCATTGAGAAAAATAATGTTGGTAATGGATGTGTCAACTTAATGAGGAAGAATTAAAAAGTTCCCGAAATCAAACAAGATGTCGCTACGGTACTTTATTGATTTCCCCATGACAACCTTTCCGGTTTTTTTCATGTTTAAAACTAATTTAGTTTTCAAAATTCAATAAACAACTCATATTCTATTTGTACTTTTTTGTATTAGTATTAATATCTAAGTTTTATACTTTGCTAATTTCAGTTTTTTAATATATTAGTTATAAAGAACGGAAATTACTATTTTTGATCCGATCGTTTCCTGCAAAAATCAACTTTTGCTAGAGTCGCCACCTGGTTGAGGTGCTTTTTTAGTATTTAAAAAAAGAAAAAGCACCTCACTAGATGGTGATTCTACCAAAAGTTGATTTTACTTTTATTTACTTTTTGATTTTTGATGAAAACCGGAAAACTTTCTTGATTTGGAGAAATCAAGAAAGTACCGTAGCGACATCTATTTTGATTTCGGGAGCTAATGTTTATTTTTATTCTTCCTCATTAACTTACAGTTGGGTCATTATAAAAAGTCACATTTGATATCTATCAATCTGGACTTGGTAGTGAGGCGTTATTATTAAAATTTTCGATTACTTTAACGAATCGACTTGGTTTTAAAAGTAGTGTGATTCGTATGAAGATATTGTGCAAAAATTATATCAATTTTATGATTACTATCAATATATTACTTCGTGAGTTTGATCATTAATATATGTATTGTCTCGGCAAGGACAACAGAAGAAAATTACAGATAATAAATGAATTAGTTATTACTAAGCGAAATGCCAAAACTTAAAGAATGGGAATGAATCCAAAACACCTTTGTTATCAACACACCATATCATTGCCGACAGCAAATAGATAGGCCCAGAAGATATCGAATTGCCCGTCAAAAATGTTTGATGAATTACTCGCAAACTTCATAGTACGACTATTGTAGTATTTATCAATTTCCCCAATAAAAAATAATTACAGTAAGTAATAGAGTAAATTGAAATTTTTAAGAGTAATTATTTGGATCTATAGAGAAAATTTTATAAATTCACATTTTGGATATGTCAGAATATTTTTTTAGATCCTACAATTTATGCTGCCATCTAGTGAAATATTTTTTGTAGTTTCTTTATTTTTTTAAATACTTCCTCATAATAATAATGTCCGGCGGACCGTGCTACACACGACTAAAACACGTCGCACCGAACCAAGTTCACTGTACGGAGCGCACAGACTCAGTCGTTAGCACTATGACATATGAAACGAAGGTACATAAATATAAATATGGAAGGTAAGTAAAGTCAAACATATTTTAAATATGTGTAAGTGTATTTGAATAAATATATTTTGACTTTTTTCATAGGTTTTGCAAGAAAATACATACTGTACTTACTTCAGAATTTTACAGTAACACTAGCTTTTGCCCGCGACTTCGTCCGCGTGATAGTTACTTTGGGCATCATATATTTTCCAAAAATACTGTTGTTTTTTGAGCTGATGATGAAATTACCTTGATGTTTAAGTTCGAAGATATTACAACAAAATACCAACGAATGTCCAATATGTTTCAGCACTTTATCTTTGTAACTTTAGAGATATTAATCCAATTTAATGCAATTTGAAATAAAGATGAAAAAAAGAAACAGTTCTGAAGTTTACACAAAACTTAATCGAAAACGTAATCTAGGTACGCAAAATTCTTTGAAAGAAACGTTACCGCAGATTTCTTTAGAATAAACGCCATCTAGAACACAGCGCCATCTATTGGGTGTATTTGCAACCTAGATGTCAAACGATATTGAAGAATTTTATCTATGAATCGTCGTACACCGCCATCTATGAGAACTTCATAAAACTAAACAGTAAATAAACACTTGCTTAAGAAACAATTAATTAGAACATTTTATTCGTTTACATTCACAACATAAGCGAATAATTGAAATGATAATTATCCTATCCAGTAAGTTAGACCAAAATACGGCTACATGTGAAATTTGATAGAAATCGGTTCAGTAGTTTTGGAGTTTATTGGCAACATACATCGTGACACAAAATTTTTATATATATATATAGATGTTTATATATGCTTTGTTGATTTCTCAAAGGCTTTTGATTCTGTGAGATGGCAAACTTTGTGGAAACCTTGACCGAGTCACCAGGACACTCGACCCCGATATCTCCTACCTGTACCACCACGTTATTGTAAAAATCTGTTATAGGTATGTAAAAGGTGTAAATTTCTGTACGTACGAAATAAATAAAATACCCCTTTAAGAAATAATACATTTTATATTTAATCATTACCCGTCTGTTCTGCTCTAAATTAATGATACTTAAGATACTACGTAACGTACCAATCTATAATCGTCCCACATGTTGCAAAATTTTATTTTACAATAGTAAAATACCTTAGAATTTAAAGAAACTAAAATATAACTAGTTAATGGACTATAATAAAAAAATATATTACCGTATGTTTGTTGCTTGAAGCTGAACAAGTAGTAGAAGCAAAGATGAGCAAAAATATCTTATATAAATACCTAACAGCAATACAGATTAAAGATACACGTTGTAGTCAGTAGTAGTGGTAAATTCATGTGCTGAATAATAAATCCAAAGAGAATTTGTACTAGATATGATAAATCAAATCTGTAATTTTTGTGACAGTCAATGAGATATGGAAATTAATCAATTTAAAAAATTTACAAAAGCGAATGCAATATTGGAAACTATCAAAAAGATCGATGTAGTGCTAAGTCCGATCTAGTCCGCTCTGAGAAAAAAGAAAGCACTAAAAATGCAACTCACTAGATGGCGACTCTACCAAAAGTTGATTTTTGCAGGAAACGAATGGACCAACAATAGTCATTTCCGTTTATCTAACATATTAATAAAATGAAATTTGCAAAGTTTTGAAAATTAATTTATTTTTATATAAGAAAGAAAACCGGAAGGGTTGTCATGGAGAAATCA